CAGGTCAGCGGGCCACACTGAGTGTCAAAACTTCTCTGTTGGGGGAAAGAAACAGAGGCTGAAAGACCAAGTGTGAGTGGGGGAACATGCAGGTTAGAAGAAAAAGGAAGAAAGAACAAAAGGAGGAAGGATCGGGTAAGTGTGGCTTGCTTTCTATGTGTAAGAGACCGCTAAAATGGATCCTTCTCCAGCCTACAGCCGTCAGCGTCTAAGGGCTTTGGGGGAACTGACAGGTCATTACCTCCAGCATTTCCCAACCTCTCACCTACGTGAAACACCCCAGATGGAATGGGAATGTTGGACTCAAAAGAACAGGCCAACACTCATTTCCATTCAGCCAGGTGTCTTTGAGTGCCCACAAGTTTATGTGACATGTGGCCTGACACGAGATGTTTTATGAAGGCACGTTGGCTGTTGGCTGTCTCCATTTCCACAACGCAGAGTACGAAAATCCTCAGTACCCTGTCAGGCTGAGTTTCTGTGGTTAGGACGGTCCTGTGGCTTCTAAAAGCACAGTGATATGGGGCGCCTGGGTGGCTCAGTCGGTTAAGCATCCGACTTTGGCTCAGGTCATGATCTCGCGGTCCGTGAGTTCGAGCCCCGTGTCGGGCTCTGTGCTGACCGCTCAGAGCCTGGAGCCTGTTTCAGATTCTGTGTCTCCCTCTCTCTCTGCCCCTCCCCTGTTCATGCTGTCTCTCCCTGTCTCAAAAATAAATAACCGTTAAAAAAAAAATTAAAAAAACAAAACAAAACAAAACACAGTGATAGCTCACAGTGAAGCGTTCAAGCCCAGCACCCGGCATGTGACAGGCCCGCGGTAAGGGCCGCCTCTCTCATTCCCCCTGCGTCCTCTTCAGTAAGAGAACAGCCCACGCACGTGCTGGGTCTTTCTGTCCTACCTGTCAGACTAGCAAGAAAATGCAGCACTTTTCTCTTATGGGAAGAGCTAAGAGTCTTTTGCCTCTTAGAAATAAACAAGCTTTGTGGGGCGCCTGTGGCTCAGTCGGTTAAGCAGCTGACTCTTGAGTTCGGCTCAGGTCATGATCTCACGGTCCTTAAGTTCAAGCCCTGTGTCAGGCTCTGTGCTGACAGCACATAGTCTGCTTGAGATTCTCTCTCCCCCGTTTTCTCTTCGCCTTCCCTGCTCACGTTTTCTATCTCTGTCTCTCTCAAAAATAAATACATAAACATTAAAAAAAAAACAAAAACCCAGAAGCTGTGTTACTATTTATTTTGTAGTTTTACTCCACTTGACAAATTTCTTTCTAAAATGAATAAAGAGGGAGCACTTGGGTGGCTCAGTTGGTTAAGAATCTGGCTCTTGATTCTGGTTCAGGTCATGATCTCATGGTTCATGAGTTCGAGCCCCGCATCGAGCTCTGTGCTGACAGTGCAGAGCCTGCTTGGGATTCTCACTCTCCCTCTCAGCCCCACCCCTGCTCACTTGCTCTCTCTCTCACAAAATAAATAAACTTGAAAAAATAAAATGAATAAAGTTTTTATTCTATGTAACATTTTTCTTCCAACAGCAGTTTAAAATGAACTGAGGAATTTTGCAGTAATGAGTCAGAAACACTAGATGTCAGAAGAGAACCAGCTAACCTAAGGTTTAACCAACTGTGTTTACATCCAGCCATTTAGAATAGTAGATTTTAGGAGGCTGCCAGAAACCTAAAGAACATTTAATAACACAGTTATTGTATTTATTTAAATACTAATGGTTTATTGAATCATTATGTTGTGCCCTTGAAACTAATATATGAAACTAATATATCGTATGTCAATTATATCTCATTAAAAAAAAAAACCTAATGGCTGTGTAAACATAGATTTATACCTAATACTAGATATTTTCTACTCTGACCTAAGAGAATGCTCTGAAAGACCTGGTAAAAAGAAGGGAAACAAACAATTTTAAGTATCTATTAAGGGTCAGGAAGTCTCATGTACATAAATTTGTGATCTATATGCAAAATTCCCAATCCCCATTCCCCTTCTACCTAACTGAGCAACTTTTAGGCTAGCAGGGTTTTTCTCTGGATGGGTAAAGAATCTTTCATATAATGAAAGATGCTTCTGGGGACACCTGCGGGGAAGACACAATATCAATTAAGAAGTATTCCTTGAACATCTACTGTAAGCAATGTACATGCAAGAGAAGCACTTTAAACAAACATTGACATTGGATTTTTTCCCCTATAGACTAAAGTGTCTCAACTAAATGTACTCTAAATCGTGTCATTATTTCCCTTTTGGACTTAAGGAAAAGTTCCTAATCACTAGTTTTTCTATTGAAGCTGTTCCTTTTTGCATAAATATAGCATGTTTTTAGGCTTCTAATTCTCTAACAGTATAATTTCTCATAAACCTAATTTAGAGTCATTCTGTTTCATCATATAGATTGTCTTTAGAAACTTACAATACCACTTTAACATCTTTTGCATTCAAGTTAATTCATCCTGGAAATTTTTCGGGGAGAAGCTCAAAAGTTTGAGAGAATCAGAGATTCTCAGAACGGGAGAGTAGATAATCATGGTGGGCAATGGGTAGACTCCATATTTCCATTAACGAAACCCAACCGATATTTATTTTGGGTCAGCCACATTATCCCTGGACCACACTGAACTGTTGGCAAATTAAAAATCATAATTTCTGGGGAGACTGGGTGACTCAGTTGGTTAAGTGGCAGACTCTTGATTTCAGCTCAGGTCACGGTCTCATGGTTCATGGGATCGAGCCCTGCATCGGGCTCTGCACTGACAGGCCTGCTTGGGATTATCTCTTTCCCTCTCTCTCTGCCCTCTTATGGTCATGCACTCCCTCCCTCTCTCTCTCTCTCACTCTCTCTCTGTCTCTCAAGTAAACATGAAAAAACATTTTTAAAAAGTAAAAATCAAAATTTCTTCTCCTCTGGCTTATATGTCACATCTTCCATCCAGTTTCCTAGCTGGATGAGAGTGGAAAGTCTACTGGTAGTCAGAGACCAGGGGTCTGGTCCCATCTCTTGTCATTCATGTAATCTTGGGCAAATCATATACTCTCTTAGTCATGAAAATTTCTACCCATACTCTGAGCACTTCATATCCCATGTAATTGTCTTTCAAGATTTTAAACCCACAGTGAATACCTTCTTTTTTCTTTTATATTCTTTGATAGTTAAAAAAATATATTTCATCCACTTTTTATAAAGTTAAATAAGAAAATAAAACTTTTCAATTTGTGCAATTAGTAACTTTACTTTGCCAATAGTAAACACTGTCCTTTCTCTTTAAATTGTATCAAATAACTTGAAGTGAAGATGAGCATTTACATTTTTTTCTTCTCTAGTCAGAAGGATCTAAATGAGTTGGTTCCTCTTTACTAGTCTTGATCCTGAGACAAAGGAGCTAGTAAATAATATAGGCAAATCTTTTGGTGTAATTAACAGTAATGATTGGCTCCATTGTTGAGGGGACAAGGCACATAAAACAAAGTTTGAACTAAGAATAGAGTTTAGGGGCGCCTGGGTGGCTCAGTCGGTTAAGCATCCGACTTCGGCTCAGGTCATGATCTCACGGTCCGTGGGTTAGAGCCCCGCGTCGGGCTCTGTGCTGACAGCTCAGAGCCTGGAGCCTTCTTCAGATTCTGTGTCTCCCTCTCTCTCTGACCCTCCCCCGTTCATGCTCTGTCTCTCTCTCTGTCTCAAAAATAAATAAAACATTAAAAAAATTAAAAAAAAAAGAATAGAGTTTAGAACAACAATAATAATGTAACCATGATAAGAGAAAAAAATTGAATTAAAAATTCTGTTATTTCCCCTTAGTGCCTTGTCATGTATTTGCAGATATAATTTGTGTCCTGTATTTAGTTAACTGGATCAAAAACATGTTTCTGTGTTGCTACGTATGTGGCCATCCTAGCTGGCTGGGTCCTTGTCCTTTGGGAGGACCGGATGGCCCAGCCAGAACCTAGCCTCAGTGGCGAGGATTGGCCAGTGCAGGAGGTGGGTCGAGGGTTCAGACAGGGCAGGAATCCGATTTAATGTGGTCCAAAGTGGGGGCAGCGAAGTGGATTTAGGCCAAGTATACAGGGGGGATCAGAGAGTGCAAGAGCAAAGAGGACAAGGACAAGAGTGATGGAGTCACTGGAACGTGGAACCTGGAGTCAGGGACCGAAGTGAAGAGTGCCTGTGGTGTGAACAGGCCGCTACAGCCAGGAGAGTCCTGGATAAGTGTCCCAACTCCGGGGGGGATTGTCCTTTACAACGTTCTGGTTGGGGCATGCCTTGTCTCCAAGACACGATGTCAAGACTTATTTTACGGACTGTGAGGTAACCCATTGGTAAAAGCTGGCGGTGTTTGCCTACGTGGGGCATGCAGGATGGGGACTTTATTTATTTATTTATTTTTTAATTTTTCTTCAACGTTTATTTATTTTTGGGACAGAGAGAGACAGAGCATGAACGGGCGAGGGGCAGAGAGAGAGGGAGACACAGAATCGGAAACAGGCTCCAGGCTCTGAGCCATCAGCCCAGAGCCCGACGCGGGGCTCGAACTCACGGACCGCGAGATCGTGACCTGGCTGAAGTCGGACGCTTAACCGACTGCGCCACCCAGGCGCCAAGATGGGGACTTTAAAGCCAGCACAGGCTGATACTTTAACCACTTTTCCCCCCGTTGCCCAGGTTGCAGGCTGCCCTCCAGGCCTCCTGTGTAAGAATTCCTCTGGGTCGTCAGCCACTCTGCCCTTTATACTTCATCTCTTCTGGCTTCGCTCTGGTCTCTCCCCCAAAGAGGGTTTGATATTCAGGGTGTTTTCCTCTCCTTGCCCAGTCCCCTTGTGTGTGTGAGTCATAGGCGTGGTCTGCCTGGCTTTGTGATTCACTGAGTGATGTATAAGCTCAGGCTCCCGCCCAAGCGTTGGCCTGTGTGTGTGTCTACTGCGGGTGATCATTGAACTCGAGCAGAATGTGCCCATGCGCGGTGAAGACCGCCCTGCCCGGTACCCACCGGGTATGTTAAATTCAGGGGGAAGTGGCCTCATTTTGATCTTGTGTATAGGCTGTGATGTCCAATGGACTTAAAATAGCAATACAGTGATGCCTGTCTTTTAGTCCTTCCCTATGTGTCTAGAGAAGGAAGGTTGATGGACTAGGCTTCCTCCGAGTCCCTCGTACCTGTAATGGTGAGTCAAAGATCCTTGCTTCCCTTTTCAATGGGCCAGCACTCATAATCATTCTCAGGATGGGGTGCACTGCAGTGGCCTGATGATGCAGTGGCTTCCTAGGGCTGGACACCACTGCTGCCACATCTGTGGTCGCCATCAGGCTCACCCAGTTCTCTGGTGCAGGAAAGGGGTGCAGGTCCGGGTGGAACTCACCACCTGCAGGTCGAGAGAGTGCTACCTCATGGGCGCCGGGCAGTATTTCCGTTAGCTTTTGCTGTATAATGACTGCCCCCCTCCCCACTTCAGTCATTTAAAATAACCATTTTAGGTAGCTTCTAATTCCACGTGCGGCTGGCAGTCCTGGGGTCTGTGCAGGGAGTGGATTAATACCCCTGTGCTCTGCCCAAGATACAGATCCTCCCAGAGCAAGCCCACGAGGCACCGGATGCATTGGGAGGGGATCAATTCAACTCTGCATTTGTGAGTTTGTCTATGTCCAAGTGTGGGGCCACTTAGACACTGTGGCCTTTTCAAAACATTGAGATACAGCTATTAAAATTTGTTAGTCTCAAGACTGACAGTCTATCCATCAGCCACTGTTTTAAAATGTAGAGTTTATTTTAAAACGAAAAATTTTTTTAAGTTTATTCGTTTTTGAGAGAGAGACAGAGCATGAGCAGGGGAGGGGCAGAGAGAGAGGGAGACACAGAATCAAAAGCAGGCTCCAGGCTCTGAGCTGTCAGCACAGGACTGTCGACACAGGACTCGAGCTCACAAACCTCGAGATCACAACCCGAGCCGAGGTCAGACGCTTAACTGACTGAGCCACCCAGGCGCCCCTAGAGTTTATTTTTTATGCAGGGTCCGTGAGGTCGGCAGATCAGAAGACAATTGCCATTGAAAAGATAGTTTCTAACTTGTAGTTTCTAAGAGGAAGGGGGATGTCATGCCATGCAGGGCCACCCAGGGACGCACCGGTATTGGTCATAGGCAGAGAGAGTAAGGGAACTGTGGGCAAGTGGCTTTATCGCAGCTTTTGTTGGTAGGAGTGTGCAAGGCAGGGTAAGAAGGCTAAGCAGGTTTAGCACTGGGCTGGTTCACACAATTTCAGCAGGCTCAGTGGGTAGGGGCTACCTCTGTTGTGTAATGGCTGGCCCTGGGGTGATTAGGATGGGGGATATTGTCCCAAAGAGTAAGGCACTACTAAAGCATGTGGGTGGTGAGTAGGGGCTATTGCCTCTAGGAATTAGCTAGTGCTGACAGGGGCGGTCTTTCCCTGGTCAGGAAAGCCCGAATGTCAAGCATCAATTTAGAAGCTAGAAAATGTGGTTATTATACCACCTGTGCCTTCTGTGCCGAGGCCCGGTGACCTTGTGGCTCATCCATCTCTGAATGCCCCTAGGAAGTTCTTACTTAGATTTGCCTTCCTACTTCCCTTCCCTTATGGTTCTGAGACTCAGATGGCATCTTGCCAAAAATCGTAGACGTTATACTCTGGAGCGCACGATCCCCCAATCCCTGTCCCTTTGATGATCAGCGAAAGCTGAAGCATCCATGGACCACAAGTCTCCCGACATCTGATCTCAGCCCTCAGTTCGTGCTTGGATTTTGGAGCCACTGTTTGAGAGTCAGATCTGTCTGTTTACTACTCCTTATTCATAGACCCAAGGCCCAACAGAGTTTATCAGATTGGGACCAACGGCAATCTGCATTCGATCAGGTTGCTATATGACTGGCTTGCCGGCCGCCATCATTGCAAAAGTGGAAGGGCATGCCTCTTTCGCAAGGACTCTGCTTTTTGTGCTGACAATCTCCTCACTTCCTCTGATGAAATAGAAACTCTGGCTGCTGGTTAGTGCCCGAGGCAGCCAAGCAACGGTCACCGAAAGGGCCCCCCCCCCCGACACATCAGGCAATGGACATCAGCCCTACTTTTTAAATCCACATCTTCCCAAGGTCCAGTGGCATCCAACACACAGTGTTGCCAGGGTTAAGCAACACCTCTCCCTGGCTACTGGGATGGCTTCTGGAAGCCGATCAGCCTGGTCTGAGCTCCCGGTCTACTCTCAAGCCTTTCTCTTAGCGGCTCCCAGAAGGTGAGGGTGTGCCAAGACTGTCCGTGTACCAAAGGGGAGGCCTGTAGTTCCCGAGTAGATGCAGGCTGTTTCGTAACGGACGCTCAGACAGCAGATGGGAATGTATGTAGTTAAGTCCTTCCCAGGGAGGAACTGGGAGGTGGGCATTTTCCCTTGCTTCCTCCGTGTTAAGCCCAAGCGTAGAGTCATGGGACATGCTCCTACGCCTGTTGAAAAACCGTTTCTTTGTTTGGCTAATAGCCCTTTGGGACTAGTGAATGAATGCAAGCCCTGTTGGTTAGGAGAAGTAGGCGATTTAGGGGCCCATCCCTCAGCTGACGGCTGTAAATGTTGAGGCACTAGCTGTGTGGACCAACTCCTTCCTGAGAGATAACTGCCACTTTGGTTTCACTGCTGGAGTGAACCAGAGGGGAGGTGGGGGATGTGCCCACCGGCCGTTTCGGGGTCTGGGACGGATCCGCGTTCGGCACGTGGATGGGTGCTAACTGGAGGCAGGGTCCTCAAGCAGCAGCTTGTAAAGTGTGCAGTCAAATTCCTTCCAGGGAGAGACTGGACGGTTTGCATGTCCGCATGCCCCCTCCACACCGAGCCCTGTGGATCAGCTGAGTTGAGTGCACGTCTGACTAGTAACTGCTTCTGTTTGCTGTCATCTTGCAGGACTGTGAGTGCAAGCCCCGCTGGTTTTCAGAGCTAGGTGATCTGGGGGCCCATCCCTGGGAGCCGGCCCTAGGAGCTGGGGCACTGGATGTGCCGTCTAAACCTCTGGGTCCTCAGGGAGAGGCTGGGAGAGGCGTTGTTCCCTCCCAGCGCCATAGTCGTGCGCCAGCGGTAGGGTTTATGGCAGGAGCGGTCTCAGCCTTTCCTACTCACTTTGTTTGTTTATATATTTTTAATGTTTATTTATGTATTTATTTTGAGCAAGAAAGGGTGTGAGTGGGGGAGGGGCAGAGAGAGAGGGAGAGAGAGAGAATCCAAGGAGGCTCCACGCTGTCAGTGCAGAGGCGGACGCAGAACTCGAGCTCACGAGCCGTGAGATCATGATCTGAGCCGAAATCAAGAGTCCAGTGCTCAGCTGACTGAGCCACCCAGGCGCCCCTCCTGGTCGCTTTGATGTGGGTACTTTCGCAGTGTCCCGATGTATAGGAGCCACTCTGCTGGTCTCTGGATTTCTCTGAGGGAACTGTTCTATGTGGAGTTGTTATTCGGTGTCTTCATGGGAGAAGGGAAATTCAGGAGACTCTTATGGTCCAGACCTAGATAGTTTTCTTTAAATGTTTGTTAACCTTTTTCTTCAAGTCTAGAAATCCCACACATGGTTTTTCTAGCATCATTATCAAATAATCATCTCTTTCTCCTTGTTTACAATACTGTCTATAAAACATACTACATTTTGTAAACACCGTGATCCGTTTTGTACTATTTTGTTTCCTTAATTTCTACTTATTCTTATACCAGTACCATTAGTTTAATTATAAGGTCTTTGTAATATATTTCAGTGTAAGGCCAATTCTCTCTTACTGGCCTTCTTATAAGGAATTTGTTCTGATATCATTTTTTCCCCAAGTTTTTATTTAAATTCCAGTTAGTTTAACATACAGTATAATATTGGTTTCAGGTGTACATGGTATCTTTTCCTATTTATATGTTAAGATTAATTAGATTATTTTGTTGAGTCCTCAGAACCCTCCCACATCTCAACATAGGTTTTTTTTGCAAGGCCATTTTTTTTTTTTAATTTTTTTTTTTCAATGTTTTATTTATTTTTGGGACAGAGAGAGACAGAGCACGAACGGGGGAGGGGCAGAGAGAGAGGGAGACACAGAATCTCAACATAGGTTTTATAGAGAACACAATAAGCCTACAAATTAATTTGAGAACAGCTGGCATCTTTATGTTTAGCTTTTTCCATACAGCAGCATATAATGTATCTTTAAAAAAAATTTTTTTTAACATTTATTCATTTTTGAGAGCGAGAGGCAGAGCATGAGCGGGGGAGGGGTAGAGAGAGAGGGAGACACAGAATCCGAAGCAGGCTCCGGGCTCTGAGCTGTCAGCACAGAGCCCGATGCAGGGCTCGAAGTCACGGACCGCGAGATCATGACGCAGTCAAGTCGGACGCCCAACCGACTGAGCCACCCAGGTGCCCCTAATGTATCTTTTATATCTCTGAATTCAGTTAAGTAGTTTCATATACATTTCTCATTAGGATTTTTCTTAGTTATTTGTTGTCTATTACTACTTTTCAATGGAATTTATTCGTTTACCTTCTTAAATGGAAAGTTTTAAACATGCATCCCTTGAACTCATCAGAAGAGGATGTCTTTTAAATTTTTTAACAGTTTTTTTTTTTTATCGGGGGTGTGTTGGGGAATTGGGAGTACAGGCATTCCACTGGTTTTTGTGTGTGAATCTTGTACCTGTTCGTATTAATTCTGACAACTCTTTAACTGATTCCCAGGGGCTTATCATATTTATTTGTTATATGTAATATGTTTATACATAAATATATGTAATTGTATTTTATACATAATGTAATATAATACAGTAGGATTATTAATTCACATTTTCCTTTTGTACATATATATACACTTGCCATATCCTATGTAATGATTCTTTCCCAGAAACAAAGAATTGAGTGTACATGTTAAATTAAGGAGGGCTGAATCATTTAGATTTTGAAAACTTGCAATGAAAATAGCTTGGGTAAGGTTTACAGACTTCTACTTTACATGAATAAAAGCATTCTGAAAAGTGGCAGTGCAACCACAGTAGATAATTTTCTGGAAGGCATTCTCCCAAACCAGCGATTGACAGGTAGAATCAGATGTGTGTGGATTGTTGCTGGTCTGGTACTACAATTAAGCTCTTACCTTTTCTTTGCTCTCAAACAGAAAGTTCTGACAAAGGATGTGGTGGCTTCAGGGCCTCTCGGAAACCATACAAGCGGTGCCCTTGCGTTGAACTCTATGTTAAGAAAGGACCGTTGCTGTACTAATGAACCTGTGTTGAGATACTACTAGTTCAGTTCCCGTTACTTCTAATTGGGGCCTCCAGAATTCTCTGAACCTTGCCAGGTCTCTGGCTGGGGCCATGTTAATGTTTCCACTCCAGAGCTTGGCTGCCAATTTTGATTTTTTTTCCTGGGTAGGATTTCCTGAATCGTTATGACATAAAAAGTCATTTGCTTTGCCTTTCATAGTAGAAGCTTTCTTTAAAAAAAAATATATATATATTTTGAAGTAATTTCAGTCTTCCAGGAAAATTGCAATTAGTATACAAAGAATTTCCATATATCCTTCACCGAGATTACCCAACCGTTGACGTTTTACACATTCGCATCATCATTCTCTTTCTCTGCTCTGCATGAGTGTATGTGCATGTATGTATGTGTGCACACACATTCTTTTTTAGAACCACATGAGATTAAATTTGCAGATGTGCCGTCTTTTACCCTTAAATTCTTCAATATATATTTCCTAATAACAAGGACATTCTCTTACATAATACTGTATAATTATCAACATCAACACAACTGATGAAAATGTTGCCAATTGTCTTGTTATTGTTGTCTATAGCAAATAAAGAAATGTGGGGGGGGGGGGCGATCCAGAATCCAATCCAAAATCACACCGGGTATTTATGTCTTCTTAGAGTCCTTGAATCTATTCCTCAGTCTTTGTCTTTCATGACCTTGAATTTGTGAAGACTGTAGGTGAGTTATTTTGTGGACGCTTTCTCCTAATCCTAAATCTTCAACTCATTCCAAAGGTATGACCTTTAACTTGCAATTGAGCTCCTGTTATCTTAATTTTCCTATCCAACCTGAAAACACTCACCTCCTATTTGTGCTTAAAGAGCTCAGATGTACAAGGGCAAAAACGTGGGGAGGGGATTGACATTTGCCGAGCACCTGCATAGTCCCCGTACTGGGCAGTTGATAAACATCCGTTTCATGAGCACATCCATCCTGTAGCACAAATTATGATTATTGCTATTATACACATTGTGCAAATGAGGAAGCAGATGCTCAGAGATTGTAACCTGCCCAAAGCCACGCAGTTGGACCTAGGATGGTTTAGAGCCCAACTCCTTGATTTCGCCACACACTGTCTGTAAGGGCACTTGATCTACCTTGACCCTTAGCCACACTGGGTTCTATATAGACCTTGACTTCTGCAGGGTTTCTGGCCTTCGGTGGAGGTTATTAATTTATTGCCTTTTTCCTGCACTGAAATGTGAGCCAGCTCCTGAGGAACAGAGACCAGAGTTATTGACTTTGTGGTCCTTTGCCTGACTCAAAGCCTGGATTGGAAACGGTTCTTGAATGAAGACATTGGAGCATGTGAAGTCTAAGAGGAATAAGAAACACATCTTGTGGGCTCAACTTAAGTTTTCCATATTCAGGGATGTGACCAGTGCCTGAGCCCTGGAGCTAGATTGTCCCTCTTTCTTTAGGGAAACACTGGCTTTGCTTGGAAGACATGCTCTTCTGATTCCCTTCTGACCTCATTAGCAACTGCTTCTTCATCTGAGTGGATTTATCCTCACCTCTCTGACTCTTACGCATTGGATTGCCCCGAGTCCAGTCCTCGGACTTCTCTCCTCTCTCTGCGTTGACCTACTTGGTATTCTCTCATCTCATGGCTCCAAACAGAGCGTGGCTACTTTAAAATTTATATCCTGGCCTGGATCTTTCCTGAACTCCAGGCTCTGGTCTGCCTGCTTATTTTACATCCGTACTTGGATGCCTCATAAGCGTCCTAAACTTAACACGTAGAACTGAAATCCTGGTTTCCCTTCCACCTCAGTAAACGGAAACTCCATCCTTCGTGTTGCTCAGACTCAACACCGTAGATTCATCCTTGATTTTCTTTTTCTCTTGTATCCCACACACAGCACAGCAGAAAATTCTATCATATTTCAGGGGCTGGGATCATGATACCAGGGTTGTTTTTTAAACACCTTTCTCCCTGAAAATCAAATAGACAGCTAGGACTGAATTGTGGCCACTCAAAATTCATCTGTTGAACCCCTCACCCTCCAATGTAGTGGCATTTGGAAAGGAAGCTTTGGGAAATAATTAGATTTAGATGAGGTCATGAGAGGAGGGCCTTCATGATGGAACTGATACCTTTATAGAAGAGATACCAGAGGGGCACCTGGGTGGTTCAGTCGATTGAGCTTCCGACCTCAGCTCAGGCCATGATCTCGCAGTCCATGAGTTCGAGCCCCGCATCGGGCTCTGTGCTGACAGCTCGGAGCCTGGAGCTGCTTTCAGATTCTGTGTCTCCCTCTCTCTCTGCCCCTCCCTGACTCATGCTCTGTCTCTCTCTCTCTCTCTCTCTGTTAAAAATAAATAAACATTAAATTTTTTTTTTTAAAAAAGAAGAGATATTAGACAGCTTGCTCTCTTTCTCTCTGCTCTGTGAGCACACAGCAAGAAGCAGTGTCTGCAAGCCAGGAAGAGAGCTCTCACCAGAATCTAAGCATCCTGACACCCTGATCTCAGATTCTGGACTCCAACGCTGTGAGAAAATAGATTTCTGTTCTGCTGTTTAAACAACCCAGTCTATGGTATTTTGTTATGGCAGATCAGGGTGACTAATCATAGATCAATCAGCATAGTGAATGGAAAAATTACCCATGGAAACCACTTTTGAGAAAACTAGAGGACGGAAAATCCCCACAAATCTCCCCTCAGAGGACAAACACATTCAAATAAAACTTAGACACATTCAGACATATTTAGAATTCAGACCTATTGTCTAAACCCCTACCAGCAGTAGATGGTTGTAGAGCAGGAGTGGTGGAAAATGAGAATTGAGATCCTCAGAAATGTCTAGCGAATAATCTCTTCTATAAATTCACAACATGACACAGAAGGAAAACAACTAGAAATAGAAAATGCATTGAGCAGAATAGGAATCCGGGGCAAGGAATAAAGAAAGTGTGGGGAGGGGAGGGCAGCTCAGGGGAGGTGGATTCCAGAAGGCGCTGTCAACGTGGAGTGCGAACCAGGGCTGGAGGCAGAAAACCTTCCTGAACCAGTCCCCCATCCTTTTAAAAAATTCCATCACCGTTTTTGGACAACCTGGGTCACCTGTCCCACAGACTGCCCCCTTTCTGATTTTGTCTTTTCGCCACCTACATTTCCTGCAAACTAGACATTAGCTCTGAACACTTGATTGGAGGAAAATTCAGTTTTTTGACAGAAATTCTATATTTTCATACTTGATGATTACTGGGTCCTGCATCACTCCAGGAAGGACTTAATGTCTGGTTTTCCCCCTTTGCACAGTGGAAGATTGGTCCACCGGTGACGACTTGATCCTTCGGCCGTGAAGACGTCTACCAACTAACTCATCTGACTGGTGACCGTGAAGTCCAGCCACCTGTTGCCAACACTGCCATGGTCATGACCACCCCCATCTCTCACCTGGAGTGTTGTCACAGACTCCTCACCTGTGACCTGCTTCTTGCTCCCCAGTGGCCTCTTGCCCATGAAGGAGCTGGAGCGATTTGTTTGTTTGTTTGTTTTTTTAATGTTTATTTAGTTTTGAGAGAGAGAAAGCGTGAGCAGGGAGGGGCAGAGAGAGGGGGGGACGGATGATCCAAAGCAGGTTCTGTGCTGGTAGCAGAAAGTCCGATGCGGTAATTGAACTCACGAACCATGATGATCTTGACCAGATCTTAAACGACGCAGCCAAGCGGGAGTGATTCTTTAGAAACCCGGGTTATTATAATAATAACCCCTTCTGTTATTACTCTCTGCTCAGGACTCTCCAGCTTCTTCCTAACTCAGAGTAAGAGCCAATCTTCTGCACTGGAGTCCTGGGTCTCAGGGATCTGGCCCCCACCATTTCCACGGGCCCTGCCCTTCCTCACTCCCTGCCTCCTCCCTGTGTCTCGCATCCACGATGTGCGCGTCCCTGGCCGGCCTTTGCACTTACGGCTGCCTTGTCTGAAATACTCTCCCCCACCCCGGAGAGCTGCCGCCTCCCACCCTTCCTTCTCCCGAATCTTTCCTTAAATGTTCCCCCCCTCAGTGAGGCCTTCCCTGATCGCTCTCCATAAAATTATAACTCTTGCCTTGGTGCCGCCTCTACCTTTTCCCTGCTTTGTCTCCACAGCACATAAAACTCTCTGATGTGATTTTATTTGCCTGCTCATGTATGTATTCTCTGCCTCCTCACTTAATCTGCCTGCAGGTGGGGACTGAACTTGGTCCCACGCCGCTGCCTGGGTGTGGTTGGCACCACTTAAATAACTGATGAAGGGCTGTGCACTCAGGCCTCAGACACCCCTGGCTGAGCCGAACCTGAGTGTACAGCCGAGGAATACTGTACCTGAAGGGTGAATTATAGTATTTTTTTAAATTTCACTTATTTATTTTGAGAGAGAGAGAGTGTGTGTGAGCGGGGGAGAGAGAGAGAGAGGGAGAGAGAGAATCCCAAGCAGGCTCCACATTGTCAGGGTGGCCAGTGCGGGGCTTGAACCCACGAACCCCGTGAGATCATGGCCTGAGCCAAAATCAAGAGTCGGTGGCCTAACACCTGAGCTACGCAGGGGCCCCACCAGTATTTTTATCTTACAGTATCTTTAATGCAAATTTTGACTATACGTAACCTTTGCTTTTTGCATTCACTTTACAACTTAATCCCCTGAGAAGGATTTTTTTTTTATTAAAAAAATATTTTTTTCTACTGTTCATTTATTCTCGAGGGAGCAACAGAGCGTGAGGGGGGCGGGGCTGACAGAGAGACGAGGAGACACAGAATCCGAAGCACGTTCCAGGTTCTGTCAGTACAGAGCTCGACGTGCGGCTCGAACTCACCAGCGGTGAAACCATGACCTGAGCTGAAGTCGGACGCCCAGCTGACTGAGCCACGCAGGCACCCCCACCCCCGCACCCAGTGGGATTTGAGTCCACTATAGAAGGTGGTGTCCATGTGGCCTCTTTCATAAAACAAAGACCCAGCAGCCCGAAGATCTTTAAAGCCACTGACCACAATGAGCAAGCAAGTGCTCGTGTCACTGGCCTCAGGCATCAGATATACCAAAAAGGTGTGCCAATTTTAAGAATTCAATCCCCCAAATGTGAAGTTTTCTCGCTTCCAACTCAAAAATACTCTCAGCACGGCGCCACTCACAGGCAAAAACCTGTAAATCTGACTCTAGAAAGCACTGCAAAGTAATACAGGTCTTTAGCTGAAGCTCTCCTCTTCCTTTCTCATGGGGCTGTGGAGGAGGGGGCGATTGATTGCCTTGTCGCAAGGTCACCAAGATTTCCTACCGCACTCGCGACATCGCCCATGCTGAAAGGAAGGAGCCACCTACCGTCTTGCCTTTCGGCCTCTCCAGGCTCTTCTCCCTCCTTCTCTCTGCCTTGTCCCCAGGCTCCTTTCTTCAACGTGTCCCGTGACATTTCTAAGGTAGATGAGCAGCTTTCCTTGTTTGGTTTTTGGTTTTGGTTTTGGTTTAGGTTTTTCCCAGCAAGGACCCCCTTCCCCAGCCAGCACCGCCAAGGGCGGGAGGTACAGATGCGTGTCTTCCCCCCACCCCCGCCCAGGCGTGGGCTGAGCAGCCTCGTCCCTTCTGCCATTGTCTGCGCCCCTCTGGGGGCTCCCGCTCCTCTGTTATCTCGGCTTCTCAGTTGGGCCTCATCCCCTGACTCCCGTCCCGCAGCCTGCACCACTTGAGTGATCTCTCGAAGAGTGCAGAGGACAGACATCCGAACCGCCTACTTCTCACGATTAAGCATAAACAGGACACGCCTTTGCCAAGCCCGCCTAATTGTGGCTGCTTTGTTTAATATCAAAATGCTCTCAGATCTGCATAAGCCACCTGCTTTTTCCTCCAGATCCGCTGAGCCCTGATGCATGAGGCATCGGTAATGCTGTTTCTCTTTACATCATTAAGGATGGGGATGTGCTAATGTCCATATCAGTTGGAAAGCTTGAATAATTTTTCAAACCTTTCCATCAGGCCGTTTTCTGTATTATTATTCTGGATTAATCTCTTTTCGGTAGAGTTTTGCGGTATCATTAAAGTCCGACTCCAACATTTAGATCCCAAATGATAGATTTAATGGCCTTTGTTATCACCCCAATGATGTAGGCCTAATTTTATGGTTCACCTGTTTTTGCTGTTTACTTTCTTGAGCTGCAGCCGAGCTGAAGAAACTGTGTGAAAACAGAGTCTGATTGCCCATGAAAGACAACGCCACCTTATTGTGTAAAAAGAAAACCTGGATTCTCCTAAGTCGGCCCCTGAAAGGGACTCTGCTGCCCGTGGGGATGGTGGAAACGTAAACCCCGCAGCCCCTCATCTTCTTCCAGGTGATGCCTCAGTCACACTGGCTCCAAGGACATGCTCCTGCCCTTGAGTGCTCTGGGTCAGGTGAGGAGCCCTTGTCTCCACAGATTGTGGCACTGTGGACGTAAGATCGAAACCTTTTGTTTATTTACTTTCAACTTGAATTTTCCTGGACACATGATAAAAGGAAAGTCTAAAACGTTTAAAAAGTGTACCCAGCCCCCAGCCCTCGTTCCCTGAGATAACTAGGGTAACTGATTCTACATTTTTAACATTTAAAAAAAAAAATTTACGTTTGAATGTGAGAGAGTGCAAGTGGGGGAGGGGCAGAGAGAGGGGAACAGAGGATCTGAAGCGGGCTCTGTGCCGACAGCCCAGCCGTGAGTTCCATGTGGGGCTCGAACTCACAAACCAAGAGGTCATGACCCGAGCGGCAGTCAGACGCTCAACCAACTGAGCCACCCAGCTGCCCCAGGGTAACTGATTTCTTTATAACCGTTCAGAGGCATTCTACACTTAGATAAAGACTGATATGATTCTCCGTTTCCCCTTTTCAGACGTGGTGCCACACTGCACATACTGGCACAAGCGACCCTCTCCTTTGCTCCGTCTCGGAAAGTCTCCAGTGCGCAAGTCCCCGTTCTTTTCCGTTGGCTCCACGATGACCCGTTGTATGGCTGTCCCATAATGTATTTAGCCTCTCTCCTGCCGATAGGCATTTGGGCCATTTCTTATCTTTTTTTTTTTGTTCACTCCCAAAGTGTTTCAGTAAAAACAATGAATAACTTCCTTTGCACGTATGTGAAGTATGTAGGACAACTTTCTAGAAGCTGCTGGGTCAAAGAATAGGTGCACCTCGAGTATAAATACATATTGTCAAATTTACATTAATGGTGTTCCAATTTATACCCCCGCACCCCCCACCCCACACATACACACAAGTAGTGTATGCACTTATCAGAGTTTACAAGAGGCCTAGGTTTAATGTAAGGAAATAAACCTGGTGGCCTGAAGTGGGATAATATGGTTTATGAGACATGGCTTACCAGTCTTTAGTTTGTGATCCAGTAGAGGAATGCTTTGCTTCCTAGCTCTCAACTCGCTTGCACAGAGCAGGAGCTCTCGGGGAGGGGGGTAGTTGTTTTCTGCCCCCCCGCCCCCACCTGCCTCACATCCTCCCACTTCTCTGAGCCAGAAGGGAACACAGATGCCTTAGGTATTGCAACTCAGGGAATAGGGCGCATAGTCTTTTTCCGATTTCTACTGAGCAAGGTCGCCAAACAGATGTGACTGCCAGCTGACCCATGAGCCGGTCCCTGGCACTTGGAGGCTCCTCACCCCGTTCCCTGACCTTGGAATGTGGGTTCCCCTTGCCTTTCCCATTCCCACAGGCTGCTCCATCCAAGGAGGTGGCCTTGAGATGGTGATGTGGTTTTGAAAACACCTTCATGGGACACATGACTGAGTCCAGTTAGAGTCTCTTTACAAACTTAGATTTGGCCGGCAGGTGCAAGGATCCGTTCGTGCTGGTGCTTCAGATAAGCCTCGTATAGAAGTTCCCCTCACTTGTTAAAACTGCTACCTACTGACCTGGAGTGGCCTATCACTTCTTCAGACTCTCCCTGCCCTCTGTGATGGGCACTGGCTTCAAATTTCACCTGGGAAGCTCCTGGAAAGGTTGCAAACAAGCAATGGCCATCCTTCCGATACCAACATCTGGCTCAACTGGAACTAAGCCAGAGACTGAACACGAGGAGAGAGCAGGTAGCAGAAAGACTGAGGAGACCAAGGGGTCAAGGGAGGTAGAAAAGGGAGAAGGGAGAAGGGCGAGAGATTTCTCTGCTGGCAGGAGAGGGAGGCTCTATGGTGCCCGTAGAGAAGGTTACGGGCAGCATCATTTTCTCTCCTTGTCGACTACATGGTTTTTGTAGGATGTGTGAGAAGAGTCACATCAGGACAGTCAATATTATTCTGTGGGAGCTCAAAGTTCGAGGACAATTTCTTTTGCTCTCAATCTTCTAATTTTCCTAAACATTGCTAACATTCTGATACAAAGTCCCACTGCAAAGGAAAAAATACTAAACCAAACTATTTGTAATAAAAGGTTGTTGTGGCAGAGTCTGCTCTATGTTCACCACGGTCTCTTCTTTTTTCTTTCTGGGCCAGAGTCAGATTCTATTTTTCTGCTTTCCTTATGACTTGGTGGGGTCCTGTGACTATATTCCGGCCCAAGGAATGTGGGCAGAAGTGACGTGCACCATTTCCAGGCCTGGCCCCTCGTTCCCTTCTCCTCTCCCCCTGTGAAATCACTTCTCTCTTTTCTTCTCCTTTGTGTACAGCTAGAAACAAAAGACGTCAAGGCCTTACGCCACTTCTGGTTCAGTAAAGCCAGAACACGGGAGGAGCTTGGAGCCCTGAGTTCTGCTCGACGAGAGCAAGTAGGATAACCTAAGTTTTACGCCCCCATGAAGTAGATGTTAGTCCTCTCCTCGGATTGGTCTCTGCTGGCAGGTTGCTGTTGCATCCAGGTACTTGAAGGTACTCATATGCGTCTGAGCCAGGAGGCGTATGGGAGCGGGGGTAGAATTGCACTTCGTTACATAGCTTTCCCCCATTTCATTTCATTTTATTTTATTTTAATTATTTTTTTAATGCTTATTTTTGAGAGACAGAGACAGAGCACAAGCAGGGGAGGGACAGAGAGGGAGGGAGACACAGAATCCGAAGCAGGCTCCAGGCTCTGAGCTGTCAGCACAGAACCTGACGTGGAGCTCGAACCCACAAACCGCGAGATCCTGACCCGAAGTCGGACACTTAACCGACTGAGCCACTCAGGCGCCCCTAACTTTCCCCAATTTTAAATAAAAATCTCGGGGTACCTGGGTGCTCAGTCAGTTAAGCATCCAACTTGTGGTTTGTGACTTCAAGCCCTGCACCAGGCTCTGTGCTGACAGCATGGAGCCTGCTTGGGATTCTCTCTCACTCTCGTTCTGTCCATTTCCCACTCATGTTCTCTCTTTCTCTCTCTCTCTCTCAAAATAAATAAATGAATATTTTAAAAAATAAGTAAGAATCTTGCCCTTAATAAGCGGAGGAGGTCAGATAATTCTTTGTGAAACCTCTTGAAATAAAAATAAAACAAAATAGAAATTTACTCTGCATACTAGAATATACTTCTGGGTGTGTTAAACTCTATGCCCGTTGGCCTCCACCCCTTAGACCCCAGGGAGTAGAGCTGAAGCGAGCCCTGGCTATAGGAAAAACTTGTTGGCCTGTGGCATGGACAGGGGAAGAAGAGACAAGGGAGGGTGGCAAGGGGCAGAACGCATGAGGGAAGACTAGCATTTGTAGGGGACTTACTCATATATCAGGGCCTGTGTTATCTGCGTTGAATGTATTTTCTCAACCCAATGGGACAGGTGTCAGCCTCCTGTTATAGATAAGGAAGCGCAGACTCTGAGAAACGTCACTGACTCAATGATATGGAATCAATGAGTGATGTAAGTGTAGGCCAAAAGAACATGGTTGTATCAGAATGCAGAGGTATCAGAAACGCAGAAAGATTAGAGGTGGGAGGAAGGAAAGTCAGAGAAGGAAAGAGAGAGGAGGGGACAGAGCACCTCCTCCCCAGTGACTCACCCAGTTTCCTCTGAAGGTGTTTGCTCTGTAACAAAGCCTGCAAGTCACGGAAATTGCTTCAGTCATTTTTATTCTCCAGGACACTTTGTCCCTTAAGGAGTCTGTTCAAAGAGCTCTCAAAAGACTGCATAAACTGAAGATGCCCAGTGCCTTTTATGTCTCGTCACCAAAATGACAAGGACAGAATCAGGCACCATTAGTTCTGATGTTTCCGTCCACACAGGTCTTCGTTAGAGCCCTTAAACATAACCATTTAAGAAGGCATCAGCTTTTGGGGAAAATACTTTTTGAAAGCTAACTTAATGAAGTCATTTCTACATAATCTGGAAGCAGAAATGTCTTTTATGATTGAATTTTTATTTTCAACATATTGACTAATGTCGGGATTATTATGTATCACAGTGAGCTTTGCTCTGAGTTGACATAGGTGTAGTCTCAAAAGATTAAAATGGCAAAGACAGGGAGGGGTGAAATTAAATTAAGTTTCTGCTTAAGAGGAATGGTACAGTATCCCTGTTCTTTGCCAACAATTTTAGCTTCCAAAGATGTATGCTGTTCCTAGTATTTGCTGGTATTTGTTCCCCAAAGAGGTGCCATTGGAGATGATTTGATTTACCCATGGGCAGTCAGGGCCTAGGGCCCTCTAGTGGTTTCCTGTTGAATAGAATCTCAACTTTGATAGACTCACAAGGCTCTGAATCTGGCTACTAACTTCTTACCTCCCACTTGCCAACCTTGTCTCATACCTCCCTTCCACACTCATTGTACTCCAACCATGGAGATTCCTTAACTGTGTGCACCTCTTTCCCGTCTCATGATCTTTGCACTTGCACTGAAATCAGAGATGGTGCCTGGTCACTCTGTCAAAGGTAGTGCCTCGTTCTACATCTATTTACTTTCCATCACATCATTCTGTTTATGTTTGCATGGCACCGAAGCACAATCTGGATTTACTTATCTTTATTTTTTTTGAATTTATTTGTTCATTGGTTTGCTGCAAGTTCGTGTGTCCTGCGATTATTGGATTTGCCTTTGCTCACCAAGACGTGAGCACCATGGGAGCTGCTAGAAAACATGTTCCTGAGAATGTTCTTCAGTCTTTAGGACATTTTATAACTGCAAACGACTAACGGTTAGCATTTCTTTACCTTCCCTGGTATGAAGTATAACTTACCAGGCAAAACGCTGGTCATTGTTAGTTTAAGTCCTGTGTAATTGAAGAAAAATTCTGACTGGCTCTCCAAACTATAACCTTTCAAGACACAGAGGATCAAAATGGAGGGGAATGCCTCCTTTTGAATGGAGGAAAGATATCTGTTTAACTCAAGGTGAACTGGTGGCCAGCACAGTGCCTGGCACATTATAGACATTTAATAACTTCTTGTTGAAACACTGAATAGATAAAGCTGCATTTATTAAAATCATCTGAGATCATTTTTCTTGGCAAACTTGGAGGATCTTAGAGGATGAGAGAAGAGCCAGAACACTGAAAATGGGCAATCATTGTGAGAATTTGCAAAAAGTGGAAGAAGGTGGATTTCAAAAATCGTAAGTGATGAATTTAGTGGAAATCCCAAAGAAGACATGACTCGTAATAGCTAACAAAAACTGACTGTGGTCTTGAAGAACTCATTCGCAAAGAACACCTCAGGTTAGACATACTATATCTTTTTCATAGAATTAATATATTAGACTACAGTAGAGACATTAAGAAAATGATGACTCTGGAGTTCAGAACGGTTCTGTATCTAACATAGCGCATCATCCCAGGCCCTAAGGAGGCACTTGAAGCCTGACTGATGAGAATAATGTGATAATTTGGCGATAATCACTTTCTAACTTGTCTTATTCAACAATTTATAGTCTCCAAATAAAAAGATGTTTGAATATATGTAGGTCACATGAATCTGAGAAGAATAACCAATAGTTTGGTTAAGAAAATCAGAATTCAGGGGCACGTCGGTAGCTCAGTCGGCTAAGCATCTGACTTCAGCTCAGGTCATGATCTCATCTGTGGGTTCAAACCCCGTGTTGGGCTCTGTGCAGACAGCTCAGAAGAACCTAGAGACTCCTTCGGATTCTGTGTCTCCCTCTCTCTCTGCTTTTTCCTGCTTGCGCGCGCTCTCTCTCTCTTTGTCTCGAAAATAAATAAACAAAGCAAAAAAAAAAAAAAAAAGAAAATCAGAATTCGAAATGGTATCATTATATTGAAATGATTGGCTGAATCTACCAAAATTAAGTTTAGA